TCTTCCTTGTTAGGCAGAAATTAGTCCAAAACAGCAGTATTATTTTTTACTGTCTATTATTGCAGAGATGATGTTATCAGTCAAGTAAAGGAAACTGTTTTTAAACACTTTGAATTTCAGAAGAATTCTAGTAGATGTCAAGAAAGTTGAGATTTCCCATAAACATACACTGTACCTCTGTGCCAGTTTTGTCATAGAGGTAGTGCATTATTTTAGTACAGGACATTTTTCTGAGACTGCAGGAAATCAAATGCATAGATATTGAATAGTAGACGTGAGTATTATAATGAAGGATTCTATTGCCAGAAGAATTAAAAAAAAAAAAAAAACCTCGATCATATTACAGTCTCTCTCTCTCTTTTTTTTTTTTTTTTTTTTTTTTTTTTTTGACAGGCAGAGTTAGACAGTGAGAGAGAGAGAGAGAGAGAGAGAGAGAAAGGTCTTCCTTTTCTGTTGGTTCACCCCCCGAAATGGCCGCTACAGCCAGCACGCCAATCTGAAGCCAGGAGCCAGGTGCTTCCTCCTGGTCTCCCATGTGGGTGTAGGGCCCAAGCACTTGGGCCATCCTCCACTGCTTTCCCGGGCCACGGCAGAGAGCTGGACTGGGAGAGGAGCAACTGGGACAGAATTTGGTGCCCCAACCAGGACTAGAATCTGGGGTGCCGGTGCCGCAGGCGGAGAATTAGCCAAGTGAGCCGTGGCGCCAGCCTATTACAGTCTTAAAAACTTGATAACAGTCTTATTTTTTATATATTTTCTTTAATGTTATTGTTTTCCTTTACACCTAAGCCTCAATTTGGGAAATTAATCCTTATGACCTCAATTGATGGTAAATGACTCCAATCTTGGTTTTAGTTGTAATAAGCTAAAGACAAATGTACAAGAGCTCTTTAAAAAGTTTATGTAAAATGTATAATATGAAAGAGCTATGCTTGCATTTCAGAATCTTTTTGAACCAAAATAAACTTATCTTTACAAATCTTTTATTTTTATTTACTAGAAAGGTGGAGAGACATAGAAAGAAAGAGATCTTCCATCTGCTGGTTCACTCCCTAAATGCCTGCAACAGGGCTGGGCCAGGCTGAAGCAAGGAGCACAGAACTCTATCCAGATCTCCTATGTGGGTGGCAGGGAGCCAATTACTTGGACCATCACCTGCTGCCTCACAGTGTGCACATTAACAGGAAATTGGGTTGTAAGTGAAGGTGGGATGTGGGGATCCCAGGAGACAGCTTAACTGCTATGTCAAATGCCGGCCCCCATCTTTGTCCTTGAATTCCATTTTCCCCACAAATTCTTTGAACTATCCTTGTATTACTTAATCGTAGTGTCAATATGTTCACATTTTTTCACCCCTCTTGTTTTAGAAAATGACTACAAACCTGTCATAGGATACTCAAGTGATTGTATGAATACTGTAGTGAGGGCAAAGGTGGCTATATTGCTGAAACTACTGCTCTTCTGGTCAACAAGTAGGCAGCGTCACCCAGTGACAGCTTGAAAAGTTTGCTCAAAAGTGCAGGGATGAATATATAAATTCAACCCATGAAAGCAAGGTGAGGGATATTATTATGTAATTATGAGAACTCAAACAGCCAGTATATTTTAAGAAGGCATTAATTATCTGTAGCTTCTACTTGATTAAACAGGCAATAACATACTTCTGTAACTATCAACTTTGGTGGTCTCTTATTTTATGCTCATCCAAGTGGTCTTCATTATACTAGCACAAAGCTTAAGGATTCCCACTAGGATTAGACCTCATTTATCACTGAGCCTTCCCCCTTTCATTTACATTTAATCCAATTCTTTCTAGAAGAAATTGTCTTTTGTTGCCATATTCTTGACATGAATTATACCAAACATCAAGAATAAGCTATTGTTATTTTCTTATATTAAAATATCAAGTTCACTTTTGTTATCTGTCTTAGGTTCTTCATTTGCAATGAACAGAAATCCACTGATATTTGCTTAAGCAAATGAGGAATTGATTGAAAGAGAATAAGGATGTCTCATTAAACCCTAGGATAAGAAGTTGAGACTTCTGAGGTTCTGGAACTAGAACATGGGAAACCAAGAGCTATGGTGTTCTCTGTCTTCCCTTAGGATCATAGGTCACTAACTTACTGATTAAGTCCATGTCTTTTTTAGGTGCTATAAATAAGCCATTCTTAGAAGAGATTGATCAAGGATCCCATGAGGTGCTTTTCCATTACTACTGCATTTGTGCACATATTTGTTCTTTTTGTAGTTTATTTTTCACATCTTTTTACAAATAGCCATACTCTACCAGGGATGCATAATGCTATGTTTGTAGTAGATGTTGAATAAATATCTGTTTAATGACTAAATGTTGTAACTCACTTTTAGAATGCTGTCACACATTCTTTCTTGGATATGAAGGATATTTGATAGTGACATTTGTCTCTCCATTGACTGGTCGTGCACATCAGGATACTCTGGGCAAGAATGATTTAACCGGTTTGAAACTTTATCTTTGTATTTTCTGCAGACTTTAATTTTCTTCTTAATTCATGAAAGTCTTAGAATATCAAATAACATTGGTTCAGAATAATTATCTTAGAAACCATTTGATCAGTTTTCTTTGAAAATCAGGCTTTTTTAAAAAAAAGTTGAACAATTTGAATTAAAGGTCTCAGTTAAGGAAATCTTTGCAAGAATAGATTCATTTGAATAGTTTTCTACAAACTTCAACTCCATTAGAGTGCTAGAAACCAATAGATCTATTTTGTGATTAGGTCAGTGAAAAGCTGGAGGAAACAGTTGAAAGTTCTTCAGAAAAGTGACTATACATGACCTCTCTAGATCCTTTCTTTGACTTCTGTCTCTCCTTGTTGTTCCTGACCAGATTTAGTCCCTGTGGCCCTGATATTTGCATCTGCTTTTCCCTAGTATTTTAGCAATGCTAACTTCTCCAATTCCATTATCAACAATTCCAATTTGATTTTCTATTATGCACCTTCCAATATTTATTGATATCCTCTTGTAAAATATTGTTGTTGATCCCACTAAATGATTTAGTTCCCCCTACTTCACTACAGAGTAAAACTGATTTCCAACCACAAGCTCTGGTTAAAAATTTGGCTTCCTCTTATGAAGGTACAATATTAATCATTAATATATTTCCAAGAATAGATTTTTATATCTGCTGTAATGAAGAGATATGTCTCATTTATTGTTGTTAGCATCTATAGGAGAATTACTATGTAATTTCTTGCCTACACTAGAGAAATGTTTGAGAGTGAGAGAGTACTACTAGTAATTACTCTGGAATAACAAGTGCACGTGATGGAAAACTGGAACTATTGTCACCTTAATCATTATAGATTATCTGCTTTCTTTAGGAAAATATTTTATTTCTCTATTGAGATTCATTTATTTTTCTTTGTGTGTTTAAAATTTTCTTTGGATTTTCTAACTTTCAAATCTGAGTGATTTGATTTAAGAGGTAGATTATGCACCAGTCTTAATGAAATGCTCTTTAAAAGCAAACACCATCCCAGGGAACTCTGACTTTTGAAACAAAAGAACATTCAACATTGGCAACTTACCCAACATTGATACTTTTCCTTTAAAATAATGAATTGACTACATTGCCAGAAGGAGTTACTTCTTTTTTCTTAATGCATAAATACTTACCAGTTTCTTTACATTGGGATGGCATTAAGTGCTCAGGTTTTCTTTAGAATCCCTTGTGACTCAAACTAATATGGAAACTGTAATTTAAAGGTATGTATACATCTGAAATCAACTAATTTAGACTCTTTGGTTTACATATGATTGGGGTGTTCCTCAAGGGGCCATTGGGTTAGAAGTTTGGTCCCCAAAGTGGTGGTATTTGGAGATAGTGGAACTTTCCAGTGTTGGAGTCTGGTAGAAAATCCTTAGGTCCCTGAAAGTGAAAGTGTTCTTTTGCAAACCCTTGGTAATTCTTGTGGCACTCTCTGTGGTTCTCAGGTAAGGATTGTTACCAAAAGAGCAAGCCTGTCCCTACCCAGCTCTCTCTGCTTCCTGGCGTGAGATGTGAATGCTTGTAACCCTACCATTTTTTTTTTTAATTTTATTTATTTGAAAGACAGAATTACAAAGAGAAGTAGAGCCAGACGGAGAGAGAGTGAGATCTTCTGGCCTCTGGTTCACTCCCTAAATGGCCACAGTGGCTGGAGTTGAGCCAATCCAAAGCCAAGAGCCAAGAGTTTCTTACCAGTCTTCCATGTGGGTGCAGGGCCCAAGGACTTGAGCCATCTTCTACTACTTTCACAGGCCATAGCAGAGAGCTAGATCAGAAGTGGAGCAGCCAGGAGTCAAACCCATATGGGATGTCAGTGCTGCAGGCCAGGGCTTCAACCCACTGCGCCACAGCGCCAGCCCCGTGTACCCCACCATTTTAATCCACCATGATGTGACACAGTCAGGAGTATGGTCTTCCCCAGAAATGAGCTGGTGCAAGCACAATGCTCTTAACTCTCCAAAACTGTGAGCTAAATTTGCTGCATACCTTCACGTGTAGCCTGTCAGGTATCTTACCATGGTGACACAAAGCTGACTATTATACTTTGCTTTGCAACATTTTCTAAATTTCTCAGCTTGAGATGATTCTTTATATATACATATATAAAATATCTGAATTTATAAATATATAAAAAATCTAATCTAGTGATTTTCCCACTTGAGTGCATACGTAAGTTTTTGGAGAGCTTAAAACAATGATATTTTTTTCTAAAGACAGAATTTCTAATTCAGGTTATGGGTTGGGACAGGGCATAAGCATTTTTGGTCTTAGGTGATTCTAATGAGCACCTAGGGCTGAGGAACCTTTGATTTAATACAATTTCTTCATTTTACATCTTACTTTAGCTGTCACTATGGTTAACAATCCAAATATCCCTGTGAATTGCTAGATGTTTTTAAAGGGCTCTGTGAATGTGACATCACCTTCTTTATTTAGAACTGATCATAATTTTTATGGCTTCCAACAGATGTCTTGGTTTCTTGAATTATCCTTTCACGTCATGGGGCTTGTAAGGCGCTTGCTGCCAAAGGAGCCGGAAGGTATGCCTCTTTTTCTGTTCTGCAGGTAGAAGAACATATTTTAGCTTTTTATTTCTTGCCAGTATTTTTGCTTCAGTTACTTCATTTATCTTTTTGTCCACTGAAGTTTGTCTTCTAACAGTTTAGATTATGTGGAGTATATTCCCAGAGATCTCACAGCTTCAAAAATATTTCCCTTTTTTGCCTTTGTAGTCGAGTGATTGTTTATCTCAGGGGTCAGCAAATTGTGGAGCTTGGGCCAAACCCAGTAGTCTGCTTGCTTTTCTAAATAGAGTTTTATTGGAAGACAACATGCCCACCCAATTATATATTGTCTGTGGCTGTTCTCAGGCACAAAAACAAAACTTCATACTTGTGACAGAAATCCTGTGATCCACAAAGTTGAAAACATTTAATATCTGACACTAAAAAAAGTTTCCTGATCTCAAGTTTAGCTGTTTAGAAATCTGGACATTTCTCCTCTATCTTCTCATACAGAACGATGCTACAGAGATGTCAGAGGTCACCTGTCTCCCAGTCACTCTATTACCCACATTAATGACATTGGTGTCATTCCCTGGATGTCCAAAGAAATCTTTATCTCTAACATCTAGAAACTTTTAGGTTATATTTTAGAGTCAATTCTCCTACATCAGTTTTTCAGAGCACGTTGTAGATTTGATTTTTTTTTTTTGCTGTTGTTTATTTTGAATGTTATCTTGATTAAATACAAAATTGGACTGCCGTGGAATCCAAGGACACCAGTCATCCACTTTTTCATTTAACTTTGACAAGCTTCTACAGCCTCTCGTCTTTATTCATATTTATCTCATTTTGCTTACTTTTTTTAGCCCTGTCTTCTGAATACCTTCTAGTGTTTTCAGCAATATCTATTCAACCTTTCCCTGGCTCTTGTATCTCTGCTTTGAGGTTGTTGAAAATTGTATTGAATTCTTGGGTGATATGGCAATATGCTTAATCATAATTTTGTCTGCCTGTCCACAACATTTTTGTTTAATAAATGTTCATTCTCCATCTGCCATTTGCTTTTATTTTCTTTCCTCCTTTTTCTTACAATATCTTTATACGGTTTGTATAATGGTTCAATTAAAATCACTACTTATCTTTAAATGAAAGAGGTAATTTCTGATAAGTTATTGGAAGGATACAAAACAGAATCATGTTTCTGAGCTATAAAGAATTCTCTCTGGTTCATGTTTCTTTTACAACAGAAACCAGATTCTATTCATTGTGATTTTGCCCATGCAAAATACCCTCTAATCCAGTATTAGCTTTCTTATGGTTGGTTATGGCCATGTGACTAAATTCTGTTTAAGAGTATGTAAGGACAGAAATCAACAAACAATAAATGCTGGTGAGGATGTTGCAGAAAATGTACCCTAATCCACTGTTGGTGGGAATGTAAACTGGTGCAGCCACTATGGAAGACAGTAGAGATACCTCAGAAATCTGAATATAGACCTAACATATGATCCAGCCATCCCACTCCTGGGAATTTACCCAAACCAAAATGAAATTAACAAACGAAAGTGTTATCTGTACCCCCATGTTTATTGCAGCTCAATTCATAATAGCTAAGATATGGAATCAACCCAGATGTCCATTGACTGAAGACTGGATAAAATTATGGTATTTATAAATCATGGAATACTACTCAGTGGTAAAAAAAAAAAAGTGAAATCATGTCTCCCTTTTTAAAAATGTATTTATTTGAAAGGCAGAAGCAAAAAGAGAGAATCTTCCATTTGCTGGTTCACTCCCCAAATGGCCACAACAACCAGAGCTGGGCCAACCTGAACCTAGGAGTCAGGAGCTTCTTCCAGGTCTCCCACATGAGTGCAGGGGCCCAAGAATTTGGGCCATCTTCTGCTGCTTTCCAGGTGCATTAACAGGGAGCTGGATTAGAAGTGGAGTAGCTGCGACTCAAACCAGTGCACATATGGAATGCCAGCACTGCAGGTGGCAGCTTTACCCACTATGCCAAAGTGCCGGCTCAGAAATCTTGTCTTTTGCAACAAAATGAATGCAACTGGAAACCATTATATTTAGTGAAACAAAGCAGTCCTAAAAAGACAAATACCATATGTTTTCCCTGATTTGTGGTAGCTAATAGAGTACCTAAAATATAATGTATTAGAATGAAATTGACATTTTGAGATTCAATGATTGTTTGCAACCCTTGTTTCTACTGTTGAGGAACAGTATTTTTTTTTCCTTCATACTATTTGTGAACTGTTTACTTAGTGTAGGATAAATCTTATGAGTATAAAGTAAACTGAAAGTAGATCTTTGCAAAAATTAAGAGTGGGAATAGGAGATGGAGGAGGAAGAAGGGTGGGAGCATGGGTGGGAGGGAGGGTGAGGTGGGAAGTATCACTATGTTCCTGAATCTGTACATGTGAAATACATGAAATTTGTATACCTTAAATAAAATTAAAGAAAAAAAGAATATACAAGGGCAAGCACCTTAAAAGCAGAGGGGAAAGGGGCTTTTTTTCTTCATCCCTGCAAGCGCCAGTATGGGTAGATATAATGACTGGCACTCCAGAATCTATCTAAAAACATGAGGTGACTTTAAAGATAGAAACCATGTGCAGAGGATTGCAGAGCAGAAAGTCAAGAGCCTGGCTCCCTGATGACACCCTGAAGCCACTACATAAGTGCTATTCTTGAAGTTCTTTTAAATGAAAGAAAAATAGTCTCCATCCTGTTCAAGCTTTTGGAGTTTTTCTGTAATATAACTGTGTTTTATTTTAATTGAAGGTCATAAAACTTCTTATAATGCAGGGTTGTGTGAGTGTGGTTATGTAAGTATATAAAAGAATTACCTTGCCTTTATTTTTCTAGTGTCAGCTTGTAGTGCAGTGTTTTCCTCTACCCTGCCTCATCTCATTCATGGATTGCTTCGTTAAGCCTGTGTCGTTCTGCTTTCCACCCCAGGTTCCCTGCTTCTACCAGCTGAGGGCTAAAGAAGCTTCTGCTGTAAGCCTGCATGTTCCACTATCATCCTTTAGATAAAGAACTGATGGTTGCTCTCCCTGGGATCTCCCACTTCTTTGGAGAACAGGTGCTCTTCCAGCATTGTCTGAGCTTTGCGTTTTTGAGTGGGTCCTGGCTTCATTTTTCCATGGGCCTCTCTAGTGGTCTCCACACTGAGCAGCCCATTCCCCACATATCATCACTCAGATTTCAAGTTATTTCTTAGTTTTGTCAAAGGCAGAGTCTGCATTTCTGTTTTCCTTTTGCTTGTTCTTGTAAGATGATTTTGGAAAGAACAGAGACAGGTGTCTTTACTCCATCATTTTAAAACCAGATGTCAACTTGCTTTATTTTTAAATTAATGTGGTTTTTTTTTTTTAATTTGAAAGAGATACATGTTAATCAGTCAGTGATAATTGCTGTTAACTTTTTAGAGAATATTTTCCCAGATTTTATCCCTGGATCTCTCTACCTCCATATAAGTAGATTAATAGATTAGATAGACATACTGATTAATACATGTGAAATATATGTATAAAATCTGTTTTTAAAAACTTTTTGAGGGGCTGGCTCTGTAGAATAGTAGGCTACACCTCCACCTGCAGCACTGGCATCCCATATTGGCACCAGTTCATGTCCTGGCTGCTCCTTTTCTGACCCAGCTCTCTGCTATGGCTTAGGAAAGCAGTAGAAGATGGTCCAAGTGCTTGGGCCCCTGCACTCGTGTGGGAGATCTGGAGGAGCTCCTGGCTGCTGGCTTCAGATAGACCCAGCTCTGGCTATCATAGCTATTTAGAGAGTAAACCAGAGGATGAAAGACCTTTCTCTCTGCCTCTCACTCTCTGTCAGTAACTCTACCTCTCAAATAAATAAATAAAATCTCTACAAAATTTTTTGAATATTTGTGATATATGAAATATCATTAGATACAATCTAGATTCATTTTAATCACTTTTAGCATTCCAATGTATGCATATACCATAAATTATTAACTAATTGTCTAGTTTTAGACGTTAATTCTCCCCACACTCAATGGCTATCATCAATAATGGTGAAATACACATCATCTTTATTTAAGAAAAGGGCTAAGCATGCCTTGTAAAAGCCATTGTAATTCATAAGCTGTACTTTGGAAACTTATATTCATTAAATAAAAGTTAAAAAAATACAGCTTATGGATTACAGTGGCTTTTCCCCCCATAACTTCCCTCCCACCCACAACCCTCCCATTTCCTGCTCCCTCTCCCATTCCATTCACATCAAGATTCATTTTCAATTCTCTTTATATATAGAAGATCAATTTAGTATATATTAAGTAAAGATTTCAACAGTTTGCACCCACACAGAAACACAAAGTGTAAAGTACGGTTTGAATACTAGTTATATTAATTAATTCACATTGTACAACACATTAAGGACAGAGATTCTACGTGAGGAGTAAGTGCACAGTGACTCCTGTTGTTGACTTAACAAATTGACACTCTTGTTTATGGCATCAGTAATCACCCTAGGTTCTTGTTATGAGTTGCCAAGGCTATGGAATGTCCTGAATGTTGATGAACAATTTAATACTTTATCCCTTTCAGTATTTTTTTTTTTGTTCTACTTAATACTATTGGTTGAACTCTTTAATTAACACACAATTATTCTTACATGTTTAAATTTAACTGAAAAGTGATCCCTGTTAAATATAAGAGTGAGAATAAGAGAGGGAGGAGATATACAATTTGGGACATGCTCAATTGGACTTGCCCCAAACGGTAGAGTTAGAAACATGGCAGGGGATTCCAATTCAATCCCATCAGGGTGGCATGTACCAATGCCATCTCAGTAGTCCAAGTGATCAATTTCAGTTCACAATTGATCATAATGATAGGTCTAAGAGTCAAAGAGATCACATAAACAAGACTAGTGTCTGCTAATACTATCTGATAGAATTTAAAAAAGGAGAGAATAATCCAACACGTGAAGCGGGATACACAGCAACTCATAGAATGGCAGATGTCCTAAACAGCACTCTGGCCTCAGAATCAGCCCTTAAGGCATTCGGATCTGGCTGAACAACCCATGAACCCAAGAGAGTATTTTAGGCATGGAAATCAAGACACTCTGGCAAAAAAAAAAAAAAAAAAAAAAAAAAAAAAAAAAAAAAAAAAAAACCACAAAACCCTGCCATTGTAATTTTACATTTTGTGAGATCTTTTGTTTATTTATTTTTTAATTTATTTAATGAGCATAAATTTCCAAAGTACAACTTATGGACCACAATAGCCCCCTCCCCCCCGTGTCTTCCCTCCCATCCACAACGCTCCCCTCTCCCACTCCCTCTCCCCTTCCCCTTCACATCACGATTAATTTTCAATTATCTTTATATACAGAAGATCAATTTAGCGTATGTTAAGTAAAGATTTCCACATTTTGCTCCCACACAGAAATACAAAGTGTAAAATACTATTTGAGTACTAGTTATAGCATTGATTAAACACCTAAGAGTAATTGTGTATTAATTACAGAGTTCAACCAATAGTTTTAAGTAGAATATAAAATGCATCTTTTGTATTGTTGTGGCTTCCCCCCGACCTCCCTCCCTCCCGTGGCCCTCCCCTCACCCACTTCCTCTCCTATCCCACCCTTCATCACGTTTCATTTTCAATAACCTTCATATACCGAAGATCAACTTAGTATATACTAAGCAGGGATTTCAACAGGTTGCACTCACACAACCGAACCAGGTATAGGGTATTGTTCAACTAGTAGTGTTGTTTTTGAGTTTCATAGATAAACATATTAAGGACAGAGATCCTGCGTGGGGAGCATGAACCCAGTGACTCCCGTTGTTGATTTAACAATTGGCACTCTTATTTATGACGTCAGCAATCACCCGAGACTCTTGCTATGAGCTGTCTAGGCTATGGAAGCCCCTTGAGTTCACCAACTCTGAATTTGTTTAGTCAAGGCCATATCACAGTGGAGTTTCCTTCCTCCCTTCAGAGAAAGGCGCCTCTCTCCTTGATGGCCTGATCCTTCTGCTGAGGTGTTGTTCAACAGGATCCTTCATTTAGATTGTTTTTTTGCCACCGTGTCATGGCTTTCCATGCCTGTGAGACTCTCATGGACCTTTTAGTCAGATCCGAATGTCCCAAGGGTTGATTCTGAGGCAGGAGTGCTGTTTTGGGCATTTGCCATTCTATGAGTCTGCTGTGTGTCCTGCTTCCCCCGCAGGATCATTCTCTCCCTTTTGATTCTATCTTTCATTATTTGCTTACACTGGTCTTATTTGTGTAATCTCTTCGACACTTACCCTATCTTTTTGATCAGTTGTGTATTTATATTTGTCACTTTACCAAGTGTGCTGGCATTGGTACCTGCCTCCTTGGTAAGATTGAGTTGAAATCCCCTGGCACATTTCCAGTTCCACCATTGGAGGTAGGTCTGAGTGAGTATGTGCCATCCTATATATCTCCTCCCTCTCTTATTCCCACTCCCATGTTCCACAGAGATCAATTTCCTGTTAATTTTTAAACGCTTAAGAATGGTTGTGGATTGATTGCAGAGTTCAACCAGTGGTCTTGTGTAGAGCAAACCGAGCAACAACAACAACAAAAATACTAGAGGAACAAAATAGTAAGTTTTTCCTCAACAGTCTAGACAAGGGCTGCTCATGTCATTGTCTCTCATAGTGTCCATTTCACTTCAATGGGTATCATTTTAGGTGCTCGTTTAGTTGCCATCGATCAGGGAGAACATGTGATATTTATCCCTTTTGGACTGGCTTATTTCACTCAGCATGATGTTTTCCAGCTTCCTCCATTTTGTTGTGAATGCCCGGATTTCATTGTTTTTTACTGCTGTATAGTGTTCCATAGAGTACATATCCCATAGTTTCTTTATCCAGTCATCCATTGATGGACATTTAGGTTGATTCCATGTGTTAGCTATTGTGAATTGAGCTGCAGCAAATATTGAGGTGCAAATGGCTTTTTTCACCCCTTTAATTCCATTTGGGTATATTCCAAGGAGTGGGATGGCTGGGTCCTGTGGTAGTGCTATATTCAGGTTTCTGAGGACTCTCCAGACTGTCTTCCATAGTGGCTTTACCAGCTTGCATTCCCACCAACAGTGGATTAGTGTCCCCTTTTCTCCACATCCTTGCCAGCATCTGTTGTTGGTTGACTTCTGTATGTAAGCCAATCTAACCGGAGTGAGGTGGCATCTCATTGTGGTTTTGATCTGCATTTCCCTGATGGCTAGGGATCCTGAGCATTTTTTCATGTGCCTGTTGGCCATTTGGATTTCCTCTTTTGAAAAATGTCTTTTAAGGTCCTTGGCCCATTTTTTAATTGGGTTGTTTGTTTTGATTCTGTGGTGTTTTTTGATCATTGTGTAGATTCTAGTTGTTAATCCTTTATCTGTTGTGTGGTTTGCGAATAACGTCTCCCATTCTGTTGGTTGCCTCTTCGCTTTCCTGACTGTTTCCTTTGCTGTTAAGAAATTCTTCAATTTGAGGTAATCCCATTTGTTTATTTTATCTTTGATTACCCGTGCCTGTGGGGTCTTCTCCAGGAATTGTTCGCCTATTCCGATATCTTGAAGGGTTTCCCCTATGCTCTCAATTAGTTTCATGGTGTCATGGCGCATCTCTAGTTCTTTGATCCATGTTGAGTAGATTTTTGTATAAGGTGTAAAGTAGGGGTCTTGCTTCATACTGCGGCATGTGGACATCCAGTTTTCCCAGCACCATTTGTTGAAGAGGCTGTCCTTGTTCCAGGGGTTGGTTTTAGGTCCTTTGTCAAATATGAGTTGGTTATAGATGTTTGGATTGATCTCCGATGTTTCTATTCTGTTCCATTGGTCTGTCCATCTGTTTTTGTACCAGTACCAGGCTGTTTTGATTATAACTGCCCTGTAGTATGCCTTGAAGTCTGGAATTGTGATGCCTCCGGCCTTGTTTTTATTGTAAAGGATTGCTTTAGCTATTCTGGGTCTCCTGTTTCTCCATATGAATTTCAGCATCGTTTTTTCTAGGTCTTTGAAGAATGACTTTGGTATTTTGATTGGTATTGCATTGAACTTGTAAATTGCTTTTGGGAGAATGGACATTTTGATGATATTGATTCTTCCAATCTATGAGCATGGCAGGTTTTTCCATTTTTTTGTGTTGTCTTCTATTTCTTTCTTTAGTGTTTTGTAATTTTCATCATAGAGGTCTTTGACCTCCTTGGTTAAATTTATTCCAAGGTACTTTATTGTTTTTTTTTTTTTTGTGAGATCTTTTGTTTATAATATGTCTCCCCACCACACATGTGCAACAATAATGGCAGCAAATGTTTTGCTCATAACACCTGACACAGAATAAATGCACAGTAAATGTTTTCTGAATAAATGAATGCAGGCTTGTCACACCCAGTTGTTCTCTTCTGGGAAACACTATAAATCTTGGGCTTGGCCTACAATACTACTTGCTCTAAGGTATCACCATGTTTAACAATAGAAAGGACCCCAACGAACACAGATATCTCAGAATTGTAACATTTATGCCTTTCACCATTGATGCCAGTTACACTCATGTATCTGAAGCAGGAGAGAAGAAAAGTTAAGAAGAAAGGAAATGGGTACTTTCAATGCTATTTCCACAGACTTTGCCTCCACTCTCTCCTTTTTGAGTTTCTATCGTCACACTTTGTATTACTTGTTGATTATTGTCTTTTCACTGGATCCTACTTGTTCAATATAAAATTTTCTTTCCACACAATATGTTCTGTGAGGGTAGGGACTATGTCATCTTTATATATTGCTGTATCCAAATACCTGGAACAGTACCTGGTGCACAGTAAGTACTCAATAAATAGCTTAAAATGAATGACATGTGACCTAGGATCTTTGTGCCAATAAAGTGGTATGTGAAAACACACTTTGCCTTCAAGTAATTTGCAATGTAGGTGCAACCTTAGGAATAAGCTTACGAATTCTAATTCGTATAGAATCAGACACCACTGTAAGAATTAAATCTAAACCTTTGCCCCCAGTGATTTGTCTGTGAACAGGGCTTTAATGACCAACAATATTTAGTGATTAACAATAATTTCCAATCCCTTTTAGTAAATTTTCACAAGGTATACATGTATCTACCTTTACCTGTATCATCTAGTAGAGAAAGAACACAAGATTGAAATTAAGAAGTTTCATATTTAGCCTCTGCAGTTTCCCTCAACTGTGAAATGTGAGTGGGGTGGGGAATTGGAGCAATGATTCCATAAAGACTTTTCTAGAGATAATCTTAGAAAATTCTTAGAGAATCTAAATTGTGAAGTGAATATACACAAGGTTGGTTGTCCAAGCATCTTCAGCCCAAAGATGCTTCAAGAATACTGAGTCATTATAAAGGCCAGAAAAGTAGACCCTAACTCATGTAATCACACATTGAATTGTACTTGAACTTAAAATATGTAAAAAGAGTACTAAATCTTTTTTCATATGATGTAAAGTAAGTCCTTGAGAAGCTAAAGAACAATATCTTGGAAAAAAGCATATGTGATACTAGTTGAACTGTAAATTATCAGGAATTTAATATTGATTGCTATTGTATATAAGAAAGACATGAGGAATGGCCAGAGTTGCTATCAGCCTTGAGGGTGTTGTACTTGGAACCAGGGAGAAGTATGTGTGAGTGGTTAGGGTGCTGAAAGAATGGAACTGAAATAGGCTGTCAAGAATGCATGAATGATTAATATGTAAGTGCAGTGATGTGGATCAGAATATATTGTACATTTGATTGAGCTGGAAAAGTGAAAGGAATACCGAGGACCTATAAATGTATATGGGATTGTTTTAATGTCATACATTAATAGACACCAGCCAGATCCATTAAGATGTTGTCACCAAGACTCATCAATTTTTCTTATATTATATATTTTTGTATCCAACCTTCCTTTTCATTTCCTCTGCATTTCACGGCTCAGCTATCGCAATGGGCTTCAAATTAATCAACGATCTTCCCAAAATCAAGTTGGCAACATTTAAAACTACCAGATAAGTATTTTTCAGTATTTCTGTAGCATCGCACTCCTAGCCCAATCCTTTATTTTACCTTTCCCAATCCTTTATTTGACTTTATCTATCTCACAAGACTGCTCTGAAAAGTGGGTTTCAAACTTCATCCTAGGATTGTAGTAGTGTACTCTGAAAATAAGAATTGTGTTTGTTTTTTCAGCCATTGTCTTTTCTAGCACCTAGCACATTTTCTAAGGCAGAATAAGAGTCTTGTGAATATTTGTTGAATCAATGAATGAGGTGACTCTGGTCGCTGACAAATGTAACTAGAGAAGAATAACATATCCTCTCAAATCAGCAGCATCATGGTTATCTTCTTACCATGTTGGTGTCCCAAAGTAAGTTTTGTTTGAAAAAGAGTTATATTGTTTTAAGTATTTGAAAACTAATTAACTAGATAAAGATACTTTACAATTCTTACACCTGGCAGTCAAAATCCCAAATTTATCTCTCAAAGGCAATTTTTATTACTATTCCCTAAAATAGAGGGGTATCATTATGATTTTTGCTCCACAACCCTAACTTGAACTCCATGGATATGTGTGACTGCCATGTCTATTCTTATATGATCCCATTCCTGAGAAATAAGTTTTGACCCAAGCCTAGAAATTTGTATTCCCTTGACATCCTGGCCAGAGTTGATTTGTTTTTTGTTTTTGAATGAGCATCATTCCTGGAATTTACACAATTTTTTTAAAGATTTATTTGAAAGTCAGAGTTACACACAGAGAGAAGGAGAGGTAGAGAGAGAGACAGAGAGGTCTTCCATCTGCTGGTTCACTCCCCAGATGGCTGTAATGGCTGGAGCTGCACCGATCTGAAGCCAGGAGCCAGGAGATTCCTCCAGGCCTCCCATGCAAGTGCAGGGGCCCAGGGACTTAGGACATCCTCCACTGCTTTCCCACGCATAGCAGAGAGCCAGATTGAAAGTGGAGCAGCCAGGACTCTAGCCGGCACCCATATGGGATGCCGGCACTGCAGGTGGCGGCCCCATTCACTACTCCACAGTGCCGGCCCCTACACATTTTTGAAATCAGAAACTGAGCAATAAGAATCTAATCATTTCTGGGGCTAGAGCTACCAGATATTCTTTACAACCAGATTTACCAATGGCCGGAGAAAAACAATCTGGAGTGGAAATGTCAAGAGCAAAGATCCAGAGAAAAGGAGAGATGAGAGAAAAAGCATCCTGGCAGCGTGTAAGTTCCTTATTTTATGTATTTTATGCTATCAAAGATTGAATTCCATGAAAGTAGACCCTGAGATTGAGTTTGCAATGCAGGATGTTTACTGGGAAGCAGGACTTATGAGATAAAGCAGGATTGGGTAGAGGAGAAATTGATCTCAGTGTAGTTTTGACAAAACCTTGGCCCAGCCCCATGAGAACTTCCATAATAATTGTCCTTCATGAGCTGAGATGGCTTGACCTTAATATTCCTATGGGCATCAGCCACTGAATATGGGCTGCCCAGGGAAAGGATGCTCCTGGACCTTCAAGCATGCCTTTACCACGTTTAATGCTCACGTCTTTCTTTTAATTACATATGATTCTTCAATATGCTTTTAATAGATTTTCAATTTTCTTTAAATCAAATTGATTTTTGTCACTTGCCACCAAGAAAGCCCTAACATCCTCCAATTTCCAACATACTCTATCCCTTTTGCCTTGAAATGCCTTTATTTTCCCTCTATACTGCTAAGGCCTTTATGTTGGTGTGCCCTCCCAATTCAAATGTTGAAACTTAACACCCAATTTCATAGTATTTAGAGGTGGAGCACTGGGAATTGTTTGAGTCATGAGGGCTCTACCTCCACGAACCATGTTAGTGCCTTTATAAAAGCCCAGGGGTGCTCCTTTGCTCCTTCAACCCTATGGGGAATCTACTAGAAGGTGCTATCTGAGAATCACAGCAGAAGTTTTCAGCAGACACAAGAAATGGCTGGAGCCTTGATCTTGGAGTTCCCAATCTGCAGAATTCTCCTATTCTAAAATATTTCATTTTAGCCAGCAGAGTGGACTAAGACATCTATTCATTCACATAACAAATATTGCCTGTGTACCCACTATATACAAGACAGGAACTTACATAAATCCTACCTTTCTCAAAGCTCTAGCTGCTGCCTCAGCATCTAGGAAGCCTTTCCCTATAAATGACCTCTCAGGAAGTTTGCCCTCCTTTGGACACCAAAAGCACCTCATCATCTTTACTATTCACTCAACCCTAGTTTATCTCCCACTGGATCATTGACCTCTGGATGAGCTGTTTTTTTGTGGTACTGTTCTATGAAATAATGGGTTTCAGGGGCTGGCATTGTGGTGCAGCTGGTTAAGCTGCTGCTTGTGACACCAGGTTCTCATATCAGAATGCTGGTTCACATCGAGAAGCTCAACTTCTGATCCAGCTTCCTGCTAAAGCTCCTGGCAAGGCAGCAGAAGATGGCCCAGGTGCTTGGGCTCCTGCCACCCGTGTGGAATACCAGTATGGAGTTTCTAATTCCTGACTTCAGCCTGGCCCAGACCTGGCTGTTGTGGTCATTTGAGGAGTAAACCACCAAATTGAAGATATTTCTCTCTGTCTTTCCCCACTCCCCTTCTCTCTGTTGTTTTGATTTCAAATAAATATTTTTTAAAAAGACATAAAGAGTATATAAAGAGAATTGAAAATGAATCTTGATGTGAATGGAAGGGGGGAGGGAGAGGGAAAGGGGAGGGTTGCGGGTGGGAGGGAAGTTATGGGGGGGAAGCCATTGTAATCCATAAGCTGTACTTTGGAAATTTATATTCATTAAATAAAAGTTAAAAAACAAAAAGAAATAAAGAGTGGATTTTTAATGATGGATACAACAAAAAAAAATCTCATGGAGGTGTCTCGATCTGTAAGATTATTGTTTAATACATGGCTGTGTTCTTTCTATGAAACTCTCAAAAGAAATTTCTTCCCTATTTCAATATCCTTAGCACAAGAGATTCTGCAAAATTGCTTGATTTGTATCTTGCAACCGTGTAAACTGTGCAACTGACTAAATTTCTCTTTTTACATTGGTTGCTAAGGAGCTCAAGACAAATTCATACCCTGTTAGCAAATGTATGACAGTCTGTGTCAAATGTCACTAACTGTTGGTCCAAAGACATTGAGACACAGGGTGCATTTTGTGGGTTTAGCTGGAGTTTCTTAAACATTTAATAGGGATGCCTTAGAGAATTTAATAGGAATGCACAGTCTTGTGGTTGCCTCAAACATGCTCACTCCCTGTTATGAACACCACTTGTCATTTCACATGTGTATGAACCCGCTGGCTCTCTGGAAGTTATTTGATTTGATCATTCTTCCACTTTGATTTATATCTAAAAAAATTTTAGTGATGTGCTTCATTTAACCTACAACATCCAAAATTTTAACATTTTAATAAATCTAAAAAGAATTAACGAGAGGGCTTGCATTGTTTTAACTAAGCTATTGAAGTTCACTTTTTTGTAGTAAAATACATATAACATAAACTTGATGATTTTAAATTAAAATTTTTATTTACTTATTTGAGAGAGAGAGAGAGAGAGAGAGGTGAGAGCATGTTACCTCATCTGCTATCTCCCTCTCCAAATGGAAAATAGCGAGGGCTGGGCTAGGGTGAAGCCAGGAGCTGGTAACTCAATCAGATCTCCCAGGTGGGAGACAGGAACCCAACTACTTGAGTCATCACTATTGTATCCCAGGGTTTTCTTGTTTGTTTGTTTTTTTTTTTAACTTTTATTTCTTTCTTTCTTTTCTTTTCTTTTTCTTTTTTTTTTTGACAGGCAGAGTTAGACAGTGAGAGAGAGATAGAGAGAAAGGTCTTCCTTTTTCCGTTGATTCACCCCTCAATGGCCGCTCAGGCAGCGTGCTACGGCCAACACACTGCGCTGATCCGAAGCCAGGAGCCAGGTGCTTCCTCCTGGTCTCCCATGTGGGTGCAGGGCCCAAGCACTTGGGCCATCCTCCACTGCCTTCCCGGGCCACAGCAGAGAGCTGGACTGGAAGAGGAGCAACCAGGACTAGAACCCAGCGCCCCGACTGGGACTAGAACCTGGAGTGCTGGCGCTGCAGGCGGAGGATTAGCCTAGTGAGCTGTGGCACCGGCCTTTTTTAATGTTTATTTAATAAATATAAATTTCCAAAGTACAGCTTTTAAATTACGGTGGCTTTTTCCTCCCATGACTGCCCTCCCACCTGCAACCATCCCATCTCCCACTCCCTCTCCCATCCCATTCACATCAAGATTCATTTTCAGTTATACAGAAGATCAATTTAGTATATACTAAGTAAAGAATTCAACAGTTTGCACCCACACAGAACATAAAGTGTAAAATACTGTTTGAGTATTACATTACATATGATATTGTATTGTTTATCCATTCTTCTATGGTTTGTGTCTATCAACCTCATTTCATGTTGCTAACTTTACTCTTTTTCTAGTTATGGCATTAATTCATATTGAACAACACATTAAGGACAGAGATCCTACATGGGGAGTAAGTGCATAGTGACTCCTGTTGTTGACTTAACAATTTGACACTCTTCTTTATGGCATCAGTAATCTCCCTAGGCTTTTTTCATAAGTTGACAAGGCTATGGAAGCCTTTTGAGTTCACCGACTTCAATCTTATTTAGACAAGGTCATAGTCAAAGTGGAGGTTCACACCTCCCTTCAGAGAAAGGTACCTCCTTCTTTGATGACCCATTCTTTCTGCTGGGAACTTACTCACAGAGATCTTTCATTTAGGTCATTTTTTTTTTTATTTTGCCAGATTGTCTTGGCTTTCCATGCCTAAAATACTCTCATGGGCTTTTTAGATGAATCCGAATGTCTTAAGGGCTGATTCTGAGGCCAGAGTGCTGTTTAGGACATCTGCCATTCTATGAGTCTGCTGTGTATCCCACTTCCCATGTTGGATTATTCTCTCCTTTTTAATTCTATCAGATAGTATTGGCAGACACTAGTCTTGTTTATGTGATCCCTTTGACACTTAATCCTATCATTATGATCAATTATGAACTGAAACTGATCACTTTGACTAGTGAGATGGCATTGGTACATGCCACCTTGATGGGATTGAATTGGAATCCCATGGCATGTTTCTAACTCTACCATTAAGGGTAAGTCCGATTAAGCATGTGACAAACTGTACATCTCCTCTATCCCAGGGTTTTCATTAACAGGAAGTTGGAGTCAGAGGCCAGAGCCAAGAATTGAATCCAGATACTCTAATATGGGACATAGACATCTTAACCGCTAGATTAAACACTTACCCCAAAATTAAATATTTTTAAGTATCGAGTGCATTCACATGGCTGTGTAGCCACCACTACTATACATCTCAAAAATTTTTTCATCTTCCTAAACTAAAACTCCATCCTCATTACATGATAACTACTCACACCCTTCTTTCTGCAGTCCATGGTAAATGCCATTCTATTTCTTTTTTTTTATCTTTTATTTAATGAATATAAATTTCCAAAGTACAACTCATGGGTTACAATGGCTTCCCCCCCCATACCGTCCCTCCCACCCACAACCCTCCCCTTTCCCACTCCCTCTCCCCTTCCATTCACATCAAGATTCATTTTCGATTATCTTAATATACAGAAGATCAGCTTAGTATACCTTAAGTAAGGATTTCAACAGTTTGCTCCCACACAGAAACATAAAGTGAAAAATAATAGATGATTTTTTTTTAAATGATGATGAAATCAGATCAGACCTATTGTCATGTTTAATCCCAGTGAGAGTCAAGTTGGGAATTGATAATTATTTTTTTTTTTTTTTTACAGAGGATCAGTTTAGTGTACATTAAGTAAAGATTTCAGTCGTTTGCACCCCCATAGAAACACAAAGTGAAATATACTGTTTGAGTACTCGTTATAGCATTAAGCCTCAATGTACAGCACATTAAGGACAGAGATCCTACATGAGGAGTAAGTGCACAGTGACTCCTGTTGTTGACTTTACCAATTGACACTCCTGTTTATGGCATCAGTAATCTCCCTATGCACCAGTCATGAGTTTCCAAGGCTATGGAAGCCCCTTGAGTTCTCCGACTCTTATCTTGTTTAGACACGGTCATAGTCAAAGTGGAGGTTCTCTCCTCCCTTCAGAGAAAGGCACCTCCCTCTTTGAAGACCTGTTCTTTCCACTGGGATCTCACTCACAGAGATCTTTTTGCCAGAGTGTCTTGGCTTTCCATGCCTGAAATACTCTCATGGGCTTTTCAGCCAGATCCGAGTGCCTTTAGGGCTGATTCTGAGGCCAGAGTGCTATTTAGGACATCCGCCATTCTATGAGTCTGCTGAGTATCTCACTTCCCATGTTGGATCACTCTCCCCTTTATTTATTCTATCGGTTAGTGTTAGCAGGTACTAGACTTGTTTATGTGCTCCCTTTGACTCTTAGTCCTTTCATTATGATCAATTGTGAACTGAAATTGATCACTTGGAATAGTGAGATGGCATTGGTACATGCCACCTTGATGGGATTGAATTGGAATCCCCTGCCATGTTTCCAACTCTACCAATTGGGGCAAGTCAGCCCGAGCATGCCCCAAATTATACATCTCTTCCCTCTCTTATTCCCACTCTTATGTTTACCAGGGATCGCCATTCTATTTCTTCTGTCTCTATGAATATGCCTAGTTATCTCATATAAGCAGGGTCATTCAGTATTTTCCTTTTGTGGCAGATTTATTTTACTTAGCATAATATTCTCAGGTTTTGTCTGTGTTGCAGCATGCCTCAGAATCTCCTTCCTTTTTAAGGCTTAAAAATATTCCATTACATATGATATTGTATTGTTTATCCATTCTTCTATGGTTTGTGTCTATCAACCTCATTTCATGTTGCTAACTTTACTCTTTTTCTGTAAACTTTTATCTTAAACATTACTTATTTATTTAAGAGGGAGAGAGAGAGAAAGCACTCTCCCATCTTTTTATTTACTCCTCAAATACCCACCAGCTTGGAAGATGGAATTCAGGAACTCAATCCAGGTCTCTCACAAGAGAGGCAGAGACCAAACTATATGAGCTATCACCTGTTACCTTCCAGGATTCATGTTAGCAGGAAGCTGGAATTGGGAGTGGAGCCTGGATTGAATCCAAGCACTCTGATAAGGAATGCAAATATTCCAAGTAGCATCTTAACCAAATCACTGCCTTTAGTTTTTTTTTTTTTTTCTGAACAGAATACAGCATATAAAAATATTCGTGCTTTTCCTCCTCCACAAGATAATAATCTCCTTAATGACAATATCCAGCACAAAGGAGGTGTTTGATAAGTGTGTTTGTTGGTACAAGTGACACTGGAGACTAACCTGGGGTTGGGGTGAATATAGCAGGGAGACAGGAGAATGCCTGCACCTTGGCTAGGGATGAGGTAGTGCACAAACCGAGTGCACTTGGAAATCTTATCTATGCATTCCATGATCCTGCAGTCATTCTTTTTCCTCCAACATGAAGCAGCATTGTTAACATACCACCTCCCAAAAACTGAAATGGGCCCCTTGGGGAGGAAGTGCACAGGCTGAGAAATTGTTCCTCCTCTCCTCCTTACTATTCCTGCCTCACTGCTGTTCTTGGTGGAGACAACCATTGTGAGATCAGAGTAGACTAAAATGTAAGGCTGCTTTAATGGTATGAAGTTTCCCAGTATTCAAATTCACTGAGCAACGCCTTTAAGCATTTAAAAATAGAGATACAACTCAGTGATTTTAGGGAAAACCTTTAAACGGTAACATAAAAAGAGAAGGTTTGGAAAGAACCCATACACAGAGCCAGGTTGTCCCAGGAAGGAAGGTTATATGGGCTTGGTGGCTTTTTCTGTACTACAATCAAGGGGTGTTTAAGTCCTTCTGACCCCATTCTCCCAGGCTTGAGGAATTTCCCCTGTGTAGTCCCACTTCTGAGTGAGAGCTTTGACTGAAAGGGTTGCCTGAGAGGAGTGAGGCAGGGCAATAGTACCCCATCAACACAGGTTCCCTAAGAACCACAGACTGAAAGAGTGGAAAGTAGAATCAGAGGCATCTGGTCTGACTGATAAGGGCTAAGGTGATCCCCAGCAAAGTCTGCTGTGGACAGGTGCTGTCCATTGCAGGGATGGGAACTCATGGCTCCTCCTTGCCTCCCTCCACCCAACTAGCCCGCTCTGATTTTGGACAGCCTTGTTGATAAGAAGGTCTGTATTTTACTGAGATGAAAACATCATTCTTCATAATCATCACTGTTGGCTTATGATTTGTCTCAACACATGTACGTCCAATGTTCACCCAGCACTCACCAAAGCAACACTTGACACCAAGACTTCAAAAATTAGATCAGGTAATGTTGATGACATAGAGGTTTATATTTCCAGGGAGACTAATCCAAATGAGTCTTTGGTGGGGGAGTGGAGAAGGGCAAAGGCTCCTGTAAGGGACTCGGAACAGCCAAGAAGCAAGATGGCTTTGAATGATAGTTGAAGATAGCAAGTGTTCCAAGACAAGCTTCACTTCTATCCCCACTCCTTGGGTTCTCTTTCACCTGAGCAACGTGGGCATTAGAATTCACTGAGCTCTGGACTACTAGTTATTAAATCTAAGATTTGATCCCAGCCTAGAATTAACTAGTTATGTCATCTTAAGAAGATCATGTAAGCTTTTCCTATCTCAGTTTCCTCATCTATAATATTCTATCAATATTGCTTAGTTTTCCCATATCATAGGATTGTGTCAAGAATCAAATGGGATAATGCACCTGAATTTAGAAAGGATAAGTGGTCTGAAAAATATATATCAGGTTACATAACCTCTCCATGCTTCCACATTCCTTTTTTTGTCTATTTTCTTTGCATTATATAAATACTTGTCAGCTTTTGTATAATGTTAAATTTTCATAATTCTAAGGTGCCTCCTATACTTTTAAAAATATAGTGTGGACAAAGTATAAATATATACAAAATCAACATTTAATAGATGTTTATAATTATAATCTTGGGGAAATATGTTAGGAGAATTACATGTGGAATATATTATAAAGAACATTATATAGAGAATTATAATAGTGAGAATATATTATATTAGTGGTCTAGATCTTGGCATAAGCACTTTAAAAGTGCTGCTTTCTTTTCAAAATGGGAAAATCTTTTACCTTGAAATGTGTGTTCCAAACCCAGTTCTATAAAAAGAAACTCACCAGGAGTTGGCTGCAGAGTTGATGTTCACAGGATGCAACTTTGCTACCTGGAATTGAGGCCTGTCAGTGAGCTGGTGGTATCTACTGTGTGGTTTCTTTTTATTCTATTTAAAATTGCAATCTGTAGTCATTTGTAAGTCATGATTATTATCGTCTGTTCCTGGCAAAAACTATGTGAGGTGGTCTGTTAGGACTATTCTTTTTCTGCAGTTGGTTAAACAGAATACTGGGAGACATGGGTGTGTAAAATCCAAGCAGGAAGGAAAAAGACTTGGGTTCTTTGGGCATCTGGGTCCATACCTCTTATTTGACCTTAAGCTAGTAATTTTTTTTTGACAGGCAGAGTAGACAGAGAGAGAGAGAGAGAGAGAGAGAGAGAGAAAGGTCTTCCTTCCATTGGTTCACCCCCAAAATGGTCGCTATGGCCAGCGTGCTGTGCTGATCCAAAGCCAGGAGCCAGGTGCTTCTTCCTGGTCTCCCATGCAGGTGCAGGGCCCAAGCCCTTGGGCCATCCCCCACTGCCTTCCCGGGCCACAGCAGAGAGCTGAACTGGAAGAGAAGCAACTGGGACAGACCCCTGACGCTCCAGGCTCCAACCGGGGCTAGAGCCCGGGGTGCCGGCGCCACAGGCGGAGGATTAGCCTAGTGAGCCACGGCGCAAGCCTGACCTTAAGCTAGTAATTTAAGATCGCTGAATCCCAGTTTTCCCATCTGTCAAGTGGGGAAAATAATGCCAGCTACTGAACAGCATTGTAATAATAATAAATGTATTAAATTATATAGCCCTAAGCTTAAAACTTGGCTCATATTATTGCAGTTAATAGACTATTCTTTACACACACCCTTTCGTTTGAGTAAAGCTGCAGCCCCAGCTTTGCTCAAAAGAAGATATTTTGTGTTATAGAAATAGGTCTGATCTGATTTCATCATCATTTAAAAAATCATCTATTATTTTTCACTTTATGTTTGTGTGGGAGCTAACTGTTGAAATCTTTACTTAATGTATACTAAACTGATCTTCTGTATATTAAGATAATCGAAAATGAATCTTGATGTGAATGGAAGGGGAGAGGGAGTGGGAAAGGGGAGGGTTGTGGGTGGGAGGGACGGTATGGGGGGGGAAGCCATTGTAATCCATAAGCCGTACTTTGGAAATTTATATTCATTAAATAAAAGTTAAAAAAAAAAAGAAAGGGGGAATTAAAAAGAAAGTCCTTTCTCTGTAATATTTGGAATCTATTTTCTGAACCCAGAAGCTAAATCTTTTCATGGACTTAACAGGTAAACAAAAATACAATTATGTCGCACCAAACCAAAAAAGGAGAATGTATGTCTGCTTGTATTTGACAATAAGAAGCTGTCAGGACTGAGCCTTCTAGTTTTCATTCTAATCAGCACTGAGGCCCATTTTGTGAATCATGATTCATGTGCATGCTCTCCACCCAACAGTTTGTAATCTGGGCTTCAATAAGACCTTATTAAGGAGATCTGCCATCCCTCTCTCCTGCTCATTACCATCCTCAACCCTTGCGCACATACCACAAGGGATATGCACCTTGCACTTGGTTTTTGCCCTTATTATGGAAACTGCAACATTTATAATTTCCCTCAAACACTGCTGGATGAAAAACAGTCTTCCATCAATTTAAAAGGACTCACCCTACAAAAAAAAAAAAAAAAAAAAAAAAAAAAACACAGAAAAAAAGGTGAGAGTATGTCTTAAGGGGTGCTATCAAATACAGCCACCCAGAAGTGCCAATGGCACCACTGAGCTATAGTTCTTGGAATTGCACCAAGGATGCAAACTTTTGAGTTCACCAATCTTGTATCCCCAAAAACTGAGAGGAGTGCAAATATCATGTACTGTTCAGAATGCATTGTCATGCTTATTTTCAAGTGTGTCTGGTCTGCTCCATTCCATGACTGTCTTGTGTACTCTGCCCCACCCATGTCTCCCACCTCTTCCTGTCCTATTCTGCCCAACTCACTCTGCTTCAGCCATCCTGGCCTTTCTGTTCACTGAATGTGCAAAGCTGGCCTTGCCGCAGGATATTTGTACTTGCTATTACTTCCGCTTAGAACACTCTTTGTGTAGCTAGCTCCTTCCGTCATAAAGGTCTCAGCCAAAACACCCAGCACTGCAAATACTTTCCTTATCACTAGTAAGCTTCTCTCTGTAACACCTCTCCCTTTTATTGCCTTCCTAGTACTTACCACCATGTCTTAATTATTATAGTTTATAGAGGTGACTGAGTGACAACATGGAGTTGTCAATGCCTTTGACAGGAAACTGTTTCTTACATCATACAGTGCAGGGCCATGGAGGAAGCATCAGGTTTGGTAAGAGGCAGAAGCAGAAGGGAGGGCTAGGCCCAGGTCAGAACCTTTATTGGACATTCCATGGGAAAGGTGATGCAGAGTGGAATAAACCTCTAAAATGGGCTAGTTTTAATAATTTTGGAGGGCATTGCGCTACAGGGATGTTCTCCAGCTGTCTAGTATCTGGCCCTGGGATAATTTAGGGCAGTAGAAATGTTGGTCTGGTGTGTGAGAGTTAGATAAATGGGATGTTAGAGATGGATCAGGATTGGTTGGGTGGCATATGAAAAGAGTGCTCCTCAACCTTGGGCTATCTCCAAGAATCGGCTGGCCCTCGAGAGGCAGTCGCTTTCTGGTCACCACCATTTTTAAAATGTCAAATTATCAGAAGATACAGAAAGCTAAAAACATGATTAACATATGCTATTTAAAATAATCATTTATTTATGGTTTTGTCTGTTTACTCTAATAGAAGATAAGCCCCATGAAGGTTGGAACCTTGTTTTTATTGTTTTTCACTCTATTTCCAATGCTTAGAACAATGCACAGCATGTAGTAGGTGTTCAATGAATATTTATTGTATGAATGAAGAAATAGAATCTGTGTGGTCTTCACATTTGTGTCTTTCTATCCCACTCCATCCTTACACTTTATGCAGCACAGTGAAGAATACATAGTAGCTCTCATTTTAAAAAAGGATTGTTGAATTAAATTGAACTGAGAATGGTAATATACCATTTTAATTTGTGTAGTTTAAAATAGCTTCAGCAAATTTATTCATTTGTCACAGGTAAGGAGGATGGCACAAAAATCATGAATTTTGGTGGGGAAAAAATGAGGAAATAGATTCAAAACATATGCTCCTTTTAATGAGGGATTGGCATCAGCCACTTCAAATACCAACAACCACACATCCTGGGTTGTAATGCCCCATGTCTGCATTCAGGAAGTATTTAAATTCACATTTTTAGATAGGAGTGCAATACATGAAGATACTAAAAGCATTTATCTCTAGACACGAAGATGGTAAGTATCTTTGCAGTTTTCCAGAGTTTCCATATTTTCTACAATGAGTATGCATGGCTTTTAAAATAAAAAATTCATAAAGAAATTAGCATTTTTGTTATATTTTATTCTGTCTTCCACATTAGAATATGCCAACAGATTAATAGAACTAACAAAAGATCCTAACTTATGCAATATTTTTCTATCTCCTTTATTTATTCATTTCTCAGAAGAAATGTGGATTCCTAAATTATCTTTTATGAAATCAGAGTTTCGATTAACTCCAACTAACGAGAGCATAGCATGACACCATATCATGCAAGAACAGAAAATAACCTGGTAACTTCACTATGTCCCTCCACCAATGTCAGCCCTGCCAACGTTCCTTACTGACGTCCCCAAATCTGACATTACCCTTTCATTGATGTCACTGAATCAGGAAGCTGAAAAGCTGTTGCAAAATGACTGTTTCTATTGCAAAGGTTTAAAACTTTAGAGATTGAAAGGTTAAAGTTAAAAATATGTATTTTAATTTGAACAACAGATGGCCTTGGAGTGACTACAAGGCTGAATTAACTCTCGAGGCTCTATGGCTGTTTGTAGAAGGAAAAAATAAAAAAGACAACCAAAACCCTTAAAAAGCCCACACTAGAACACACAGCTCAAGTGCTGGTGACATCAGCAGAATCCCTCTGTTGAATTACAGCCCCAAATTTGGCTTCAGAGCCATCTGTTAGCCTCCAGATAGAATAATCTTCTATGAAATTATGTTGCATAGTTTTACTAATGAACAATTACAATTTTCAAGGGCTCAGCCTCATAGCTTTCCTACCTCCTGAATCCTCCATGGTTCTTTGAGTCTCCGAGATGCACAGAAAGATGCTACTCGTTCAAGTCCATAGTGTATCTGTCCTTTAAAAGGGTGTGTCCTGCCTTAGATTGAATTCTATGGAAATAGGCTTTGAGATGGAAGGTTGCATATTTTAAGTTTATTTGCAAGTGCTCCTGGGAAATTCACCTGTAAAGAAATGATGAAGACGACATTGAGCAGATGGAGAAGCTGACCTACAAGGCAGTTCCTACTCATGCCTCAGCCATTCTATGGGGAGCTCAAATGTTGGGAAAGTCCCTCTGAGTAGTCTCAAATGGAACCATGCAAGTCAGAGTTTTTATTCCTATGTAAGCTGTCACTGGAAACAGTTCCCTGAGAGAGAATTTTGCCTTAGATGATAAAAGACCATTTCCAGTGAGAAGCTCAGCCAATATTCACATTCTGACAAGTGTGGTCCATGCTGTAAAGGGGTATGGATAAAGCACTCTGGTTTCCACTCCACCGCTATCCTGCCAGCTTCTAATAACTGAAGCATCCACTCCCTGGAACTTGCAGCTCTTCAATTCACGCTTTTCCTTTCAGCTTTGGACAAACTTCTTTACAGCACCATGGTATCCTTGAGAAGCTATTTAGGTATTCATTCATTATTTATTCTTTGAACATGACCAATCATATGCTGAGGACAAGCCCCTCTTTCAGGGAATGAAGGAGTCAGAAGTGTGACAGAAAGAAGGGGTGCTATGTGTGGAGGCAAGAGAGAGCCCTGATGGGTTAGGAGAACTGGAATTGGGTCAGAGCTCAAGAGGGAAAAGGGTAAAAGCAGAGGAGAGGAGCTCGTGAAGGGTTCTGTCTTGCACACTTCAAAGTTTGGAATTTCTCTTGATGTCATTCCATCACTTCTATTGCTCAGGCAAGACACTTTATTGTCAGCCTTGACTCATTCCTTTCACTTAGACCACACACTTAGTATGTTATTAGAACCTGTCAGCTCTACCATACCCACCTTCTCAACAATTCCACTGCCCACACTCTGGCCCAAGCTTTCATCATCTCTTGCCTGGATTACTGAAATAGCTTCCTAACTGGCTTCTCTTCTTTTGCTCATACCTGTTGGTAGTCTATTTTCAGTAAGCAGCCAGAGAGAGTGGTCTTGTGAAGGTCTATATCCAGTCAGATTAATGCAGAGTACAAGTCAACATCATTAATCTGAGCTCCAAGACTTGCCTGGGGCAGGTGTTTTGGTGCAGTGGGTTAAGCTGCTGCTTGCAACACTACTGCATCCTGGGAAGCAATGGATGATAACTGACGAGGATGAAGTTCCTGGTTCCTGCTTTCTGCCTTGCTCAGCCCTGGCTGTTGCAGAACTTTGGGAATGAATCAGCAGGTGGAAGATTCTCTCTCTCTATCTCTCCCTTCCCTTTCTCTCTACTACCCTTTCAAGTAGATGAAAATAAGGAAATAAATATTTTTACAAAGAGCCTGTCTACCCCGTCTATCCCTCCCTCCTGTCCCCATCACCACAGCAACCCTACACTCTTTCATCTGTGTCAGTGCTCTTGACAGTCCTCAGAAAGCTGGGCCTGTTCTTACTTTGGGGCGTTTCCTCTTCTTCTTTCCCATAATGATGTTATCCAACTACTGAAAGACCTAGTCCCCTCACTTCTTCCATGTCTTTACTCAAAAGTCACTTCCCTAGTGAGGCTTTCCTGGACTACACTATCTAAAGTTTTAGCCCTCCATTTCAACATTTTGCTGTTGGCTTTTCTCTTCACCAGCCTTTACTGTATTCATATAGCTGTATACTTATTTGGCTTTATTACTGCCTGACTCCCCTCATAAGAATGTGCAATTCAGAAAAGCAAGACTTTATATTTGTTCACTGTTGTATTTCTAAAACAGAATCAGTATATGGTAGATGGTAGATGCCTCAATAATTATTGATTGGAAAGGGAAGTTTTGGAGG